CACCACAGCCTCCCAGAGAGCAGCATGGGGACAAATGGGCAGACAGTGCATGTGGCTCTGAGTGCAACACCCCCAGGGCTTGCAGCTGGACATGGCGGGGGGGCACCCAGAGCCTGTGGGGTGGGTAAGGGCATTGGCTCTGTGTCGGAGAAGGAGTGAGGACAGTGAGCAGGAAGATGGGGCAGCTATGCAGAAGCAAGGGGCACAGCAGGGATGGTTTGGGATGGGGAAGGTGGGGGTGGGTGCTCTGTGAGGCCCAGATGGAGGCCCTGGGGCACGGGGGAGTGCTGCGTCCAACCCAGCCCATCAGACTCACGTGTCCATTGGGTGACGTTGGTGGAGGAGGCTTCGAAGGAGCCTTTCACAGCAGTGACCTGCACAGCGAACCTGCTGCCTGCCTCCAGGTGAGTCCAGGTGATGTTCTGGGCATCTGGACTCAGGGTCTGGACCCGATCCCTGCCCTGGGGGCTGAGGCTATACAGAACAGCGCGGTAGTGGTCCCGCCTGCCGGGGGGCTTGTTCCAGAATGTGTAAAGCTCTGAGGAGCTTCCTGGGTTGGTAAGGCTCAGGTTTGTTGGTGCAGCAGGAGCTGCGAGGAAGGACAGACACACGCGTCAGAGACAAGAAGACCCAGTTTGGAACATGCAGCCATCTCTGGGGAGGGGTCTCGCTCTCCCCAGGCAGGCAGCAGCAGCCGGCCAGTGAGCGCCCTGCGCCCATGTGGCACAAGAAGGCTGCAAGAGGTGGGAGATGGCTGCAGACCAGCATCACCGGGAACCAGGTGCCCTCCTCTCCCTGGGTGCCAACATCGACCCCCATCCCATTCTGGAGCCCCTGGCAGTGCTCCCACCCAAATCACCTGTGGGTTGTAGGGATGCTGACCTGTGCAGCCAGTGATGTTTGTGGGGAGGGAGCGGTAGGGTCCAGCTATTGCCCAGATCCCAACAAGGTAGCAAGTTCCCGGTGCCAGCTGTGCCAGGGTGACATTGGTGCTGTCCTTCCCTGCTGCCAGGTTCCTTGCTGGTGCAGAAGAGCCCTCCTCGTGCACGCTGAGCAGGTATCCATCCCTCTGCCCAGGAGGGGCCTCCCAGTGCACAGCCAGAGCCCAGGCAGTGCTGACGG